GAGAATGGGCTGGGGGTGAAGATTATCTCAAAATGCTCCAGACAGTGGTCTGGTCTGGTCTTCCAAACTGTTCTGTCTGCCCCAAGAAGCCTGGGCGCTAGGGGAAAGGCAAAAAGAGTTTGAATGATTAACCTCCTTCTACTTAATATCAGGCTACTGACATGATTATTAATATCCTGCAACACCAACCTCCTGTTTCTTTCAGAGATCTTGGCCTTGCTTTTAAGATGCACCCCCCCCCCCCGCCAGAACATAAATAGACTTTCTCTTGGGGATGGGAGTAAATTAATCCATGCAATTATAGAACAATTAAAGCACTTGCAGCCAATTCAAGTTTTGAGAAAAATCCAAAAATAACTCCTTGATTTAAATATTATTTACTAAATTAATTCTTTACTCAGCCTTTTTATAGATTCCTGGGTTTTTCCCCCTCCCTACTGTTAGAGAATAAAGGCATTACATAATTACTGAAATCACTTACATGAGTGGCACCTTCTTTTTACATGGAACAATTAAAAGACTTCTCATTGATTTTTTTTTTTTTTTCCTACATGGTGCTATACCATGGCTTTAGTTAACGGTGTGGTTTTGGTTAGCTGACGTCCTGGGTTTCCCACTAAGACTCTTTTCTCTAAACAGAACATATTATTGGCTGCCAGGGGTGGGGGGTAGCTTCAGAAGTCGTTGGTGCAGCCCCTGCGTCCAGGAAGAGCTTCCCTGTGAGTGGCGAGGCAAGGTGGCCTGGCCACTTATAACCTGGATGGGCTCGGACCTCGGCATCACGAACTGCTGACCAAGTGACCAAACTTCTTCCCTTTTTTGTGTCTCGCTTCCTTCACCTGTTCACTGCAGAGCGTGGCTGGGAGAGCGGAATCAGCCCGTGTCAAGTGCGTGGCACCAAGTGCTAGCTGTTACCCTACATGGTATTAGTCCCTGGTTTTTATGCATATGCCACAGGCATGGGCAGTGTTAGGGACGTAAAACATTATAGAGTGGGTGGGAGAGGGGGTTGTGGGCCCAGTGATGGTCTTAGGTCTCTCCTCGGTGCTTCTGTGAGTGGGAGGGACTGGCTGCCCTTTGGGGAAAATCAGTTTCCAGAGAGACTATTTAGCGTGACTCTAAGAGATGTTAAGATAAATTATCCAAAACTCAGAAATAAGGCCAAGGGAGTGTAATGTGTCATTCTTGGGCGTTGTTCAACCAGCCCCCCAGAGGATGTTTTAGTATCTAGGGACATGCACTTTAGTTTGACTTTGCTATGGACAATTAAGGGCTCAGACTGAAGATCTTTCCTGGTAGAGATGCAGATAACTTCTGTACAGTAAAAAGATAACGCCAAAGGTTATGATTTCTTAATGCATATAGGACAGTAACCAGTTTTGTATTTAATCCAAAACTGTTTTGTATTTAAACAGTTTCTTATTCCTGTTTGAATGCCCATAAATACCCAGTTCCTCAAAATTCTCTTTGAACTAGTTCTACCACCTTACTTGCCCCCTTATTAAGGCGTTAAAAATCTCTGACATGTGTTCATTCTATATTTATATGAGCTGTGGTTTAAACTTCTTGAAAATTACACTTTGAGAGTGATAGTGGGTATGTAGTTTTTCCAAGTTGGAAATGATAAGCTGCCGTATTAAAGACAAAACAGCCTCATGTGTGTGTGTCTTATGGTGTATAAAGCACTTTCTCATACGTGATTGTATTTTGACCTTGAATCTTGAGGTTGCTCTCTGAGGAAGTAGAGCATGTGGGGTTAGGCCCACGTAACTGCTAAGGGAACTTAGACCCAGACTGAGAAGAGAGATGACTTATCCCCCAGGTCACCTATGCCCAAAGTGACAGAACCAAGATGACCCCAGAACAGAGCTGCTGGCATAGGCTGGCTCCCCCTCCTGTCTCTGCCCTCCACTCCTGTCTATCCCGGTGCACTCTGGTTAAAACAAACATCAGGAGCATCCCCCAAATGGAAAGACACGCCGCTGGACAGGGGTGTTGCAGTGGGGCGGGCTGCTCTGATGGCTGTGCTCGTGTGACTATGAGCAGCAATTGGCAGCACCTCCCTGGCAGCAGCAGCTCGCTTCTCGTGGGCAAGGGCTCCTCGTGGGCAAGAGCTCCCCCATCCTGTGTCCCCAGACCCCCAGGGGCCATCTTTCAAGGTAGTAATAAGGGGCCCAGAGCGATTAGCGATATTTCAGAATGCTTAAGGGAGATCATACATCTCCCCATGACAGGTCTGCCCAGACTAAATGAAATGTCATTTCTCTCCTTTTTGGCTGGAATTCTGTCAGCTCAGTCTGGCTGCACTGCTTATCTTGGGCTGATCAGGAGCCCTGATTGGACCTTATATGCATCCTTGACAAATAAAAATGAATGATTACTTAATAAATGCAATTGGTTTGGCAGATGCAGCTTTTTAAAGCATAGCTCCACGGAGCTCCAAAGAGCCTAACAAAGGGGCTTCTTGGTGGCACAGAGGTGGGGACATGCTGGCTCACCCAGGGCCAGCTCTGGCTGGAGCCCCCTCTCCATGGAAACAGAAAATGGGGGCCCTAGGATACCCTATATCTGAGCCTGAGTCTGAGAACTTGTCCTGGGGCAAAGTCCTGCTCCTAATGCAGACAGACACTGAGTATGGGGATGTCCGTGTCACCCCAGGACATCCTGGGGTGACAGGATGGGGTGGTAGCTGGGGTGGTAGCAAGGGCACAGTGTCTTCAATGTCTTCATTTCTTAAAAAGGTCCAGTGAAACCTAGTCTGCCAGCCTTCCAGGGCTGTTATGAGGAATCAGAAACCACAACGACAGCGGGACTCAGGGGAGGCCACTGGGTCACAAGCACAGTGGCATTCTCGTTTACCTTCTCAGTGGCCCTTGAGAATGGCACTATTATTATTTCCATCTCACTGAAGCCGAGAGTACAAGCAACTTGTTTAAGGTCACAAAGCTCAAGTGAGACACGCGGAAGTAGGTGTGAGCCAGTGCAGAAGAGCAGTTACTAGAAGCCTGTGGAGTCACAGCAGGTTTCAATCCTGGCTCGGCCTTTTTCTAGCCGTGGGTAAGTTAAACCTATGTGAGCCAGTTCCTCATCTGCAAGATGAGGATCATAATTGTATCCAGCGGTCCCCAACCTTTTTGGTACCAGGGACTGTTTTCATGGAAGACAATATTTTATGGACCGGTGAGGGGAAAAGGGGGAGGTTTGGGGATGACTCAAGTGTATTCCATTTATTGTGCACTTTATTTCTATTATTATTACATTGTAATATATAATGAAATAATTATACAACTTACCATAGGTTGGGGACCCCTGATTGTACCTCCCTTTAGGAGCTGTTAATAAGGATATCAGCTGTTGTTACTAAAGTAGGGTCATTCTTGATGATTTAATTTGGGGCCAATTATAATTGATTGGGATTCAGAGGAGATTAATGGGGTTAGGATAAGCATCAGAACCAGGAACCATGGCATCTCACCAAAACATGGAGAAATGGGGTCTCACGCATGTTAAATGCAGAGTCCTGGATTCACATGTTTGGCATTGTTACAAGCCAATGGATATGCAATAGAGCCAGTCTTTAGTATAATATATAAATTATACCTCTGTGAAGCTATTTAACAAAACAGAGCCAGTCCCTGCTGTCTCTTGGGAGTTTATGATAGTGGGCTAGATGGTCATGAATCAAATAATCACACAAATAGTGTGCTAGTGCCATGAAAGAAAAGAACAGCATCTTATGGGAGTGTATGGGGGGAAAACCTCAGCTAGCCTGGGAGGTCAGGGAAGGCTTCTCTAGGGAGCTGATGCTGACCTGGGATGGGAAGGAAGGGAGGGAGGGAGCCAGGGGAAGGGGAAATGGAAGCAATGCTCCTGGCAGAGGGGATAGCACATGCAAAGGTCCTGTGGTAGGAAAGCACAGACATCACTGGGAAGGAGAAGGGAATGTGGCTGGAGTGTCAGTGTGGTGTGAGATGAGACCAGGAGGGAAGCAGGGCCTGGTTGTGCAGGCCTTTGTAGGCTGAGGAAAGGACCTGAGACTTTATGGAAAGGTCCTAGTCCTGTGTTCCCCACCCCATAGGCCCCAGGTGCTCTCCTGTGACTGGGATATGTTTGTTAACGACCATGGGGTCCAGCCCAAGCTGAGAGGAATGCCAAGGACAGCGTGCGTCCTGGGGTGTCAGCTTTCTGGGCTGAGCATCTCTTTGTCCCCTGGAAACCTGTCTACAAGACCCTCTCGGGGGCCAGGTCTGGCTGTATTCAGCAGCTGTTCCCTAGCTGGGAAGAGGCTTTTAGCTTTAATAAAAAAGGGAGTAGAGATAAGAAGACTGCCTCGGCAGGGAGAGCAGCAGTGACAGGATGATTTAAACGGCTTCTCTGGTGTCATTTCTTCTGTGCAGACATCATAAATCAGATTAGCATTGGGCTCTGGTGGGGAGGGGGGCAGCCTGGAGCCAGTGGGCAGCCCGGAGGGAGGTGCTGGGGTCGCTGCTCCTCGTCCTCAGCCCCAGCCCTGTGCTCTGGAGAAGGGGTGGTTGGAACGGCTCCCCGACCTGGCTTCTCAGCCCATTCTCAGCTTTGGGGGAGAATGAAGAGGGGCTGATGAGAAAGTAGGGAAGAGAGGAATGGGGGAGGGCAGGTGTGGGAGGTGGGGAGCTGTGGCCCTCGGAAAGCCGGAAGCAGCATCCCCCACCTCACTGTGCGTTAGTGTCACCTTCACTGACGCCTAGCACCACCTACATTGTTTCCGAGTTCTAGGGGAGTCTGAGGTGCAGCTGAAGTTAAGGAGTGGATTGGAGCTCAGCTTCTATCTTAAACTCACGAATGACACCATCTCAAGCCATCGCTCCCACCACAACTGTGCAGGCTGGCCCCATCCCCCCAGCCTCCTCTTAAAAGTGACCAGATTAAAGGACCAGAGTGGAAGTCCCCGAGACAGGTGTGGACAGAGAGGAAGAACTCCCACCTGCCTTGCTTCTCTTACAGACTCCCATCTCTTACAGATCTCGCGCCACTTGGGCAAGATGTACAGTGAGATGATCTTTGTCAATGGCTTCGTGCACTGCGACCCCCACCCGGGCAACGTGCTGGTGCGGAAGCACCCGGGCACGGGCAAGGCAGAGATTATCCTGTTGGACCATGGACTCTACCAGGTAGAAGAGGCCCTCCCCACCCAGCCTCGGGGCCTCTGGGGTTAGGGCCTGCTGGATTCTTTGATCTGCCCAGAAATGGGAGGCAGATGGTCAAGGTAGCTGGAGAGGCCCCTGTCCTCCTCCTAGGAGTCATTTTGTGTAAGTCACTGTCATAAGAGCTCTCTGAGCTTCAGCTTCCTCCTCAATAAGACGAGGTTTATATCACCTCCTTCACAGGCTGTTATGAGGAGCAGATGGAAATATGCTTGTATATGTGACTGTGCCTTCCTGGGGAACCTCAGACCAGCCCGACCCTGGGAAGCGAGCTGTCCTGCGCATGAGCTGGGACTTTAGGAGGAGGGGTGACTGCGTGTCCAGCCCCAGTAAGGATGCATATATAGTGGAAAGGGGGCAGGCAGCTGATAGGGGCCAGAGGGTCTCAGACTTGTCCTCTGGAATTCGGAATGCAGAGCTGGTTCCCATGAGCTGTGAACTCCTGCCTGGAAGTTGGGAATTCACTGCCAATCTGGGACCTGGGGCCTGGCTTGATTCCATGAAGCAGATGGTCCTTGGGGGAGGGGCGGTTCCCCAATAGCCTTCCCCCAGGGCCCTGATCCTACATCCTAAAATCTTGGCCTCTTCTGAAAGGTTCCATGAAGGTAGGATGCATTAGTTTAAGTAGGTCAGCTGTTGTCACATGTAGCCCAAAATGAATGATGGCCCAGACACAACAGAAGCTTAATTGCTTGCTCACGTGCCGGGCCTGGGTGGGTGGAGGAGTCTGCAGGGCTCTGCTGTCCAGGCCTCCGTGGAGGTGGTGGCGCTGTTAGCTGGCGCAGGGGCAGGGGCTCAGAGGAGCATGCCTGGGGATGTTTTCGTGGACTGGACCTGAAAGTGGAGCTTAGGCCACGTTCCATCAGTCAGAGCTCAAGTAGAGGGCCACATCCAACCTGGAGGGAGGCTGGGGAAGTAGCCTGCACCCGGGAAGAAGAAGAGAATTAGGTTTTGGTGGGCTGTTAGCAGTCCCTGCCACTCAGGACCAAGGCTTGCTGAATAGTAGCTTTGGGTTTGGGCCTTCAGGGATGGCTGAGCTTTGGGGAAGAAGCAGACTCCATGAGGAGGCACAGCCCACAGTCCCCATCGCCCTGCTTTGTGGGGGTCGGCACCGCCAGGGACCTGGGCGTTTGGTGGGTAGAGGAGGCTCAGGTCCTACCACTGTGCCCCCACCACAGGTGCTCACAGAAGAGTTCCGCCTGGATTACTGCCACCTCTGGCAGTCTCTGATCTGGACTGACATGAAGCAGGTGCAGGAGTACAGCCAGCGCCTGGGAGCCGGGAACCTCTACCCCTTGTTTGCCTGCATGCTGACGGCCCGGTCGTGGGACTCGGTCAACAGGGGCATCAGCCAAGCCCCAGTCACTGAGACTGAGGTAGGGTGCGGCCTGAGGACCCTTCCGGGTGGGGTCTGAGATTTTGCCCTGGGGGGCTGTGTGCAGGGAGGGGCAGAATCGGGGCTGTATTGGATGAGAAGGAGGGAGACGTGGAGAATCAGTGCCCCTGGATGGAAGGTGGGAAAGCAGGGGTAGCTCAGTGGAGCCCCACCAGGCCTTATCAGCCTGGAGTAGAAACAAGGTCATGGTAACTGTCATTACCCTGACTTCTGTGGCCTTAGCTCCAACCTGCTCACACGAGATTCCAGCTTCACCCGCGTTCTCCCTAGGACTTGGGGGACTCCCCGGAGACTGTCTCATAAACACGTCTGGCAGCACTTCCAGTGTCCCCTGCCTGGCACTGTCTCCTGTCGCATGGTCCTCAGAGGCACTGTGCTGGGAGAGTCCGTCACTTCCTGGTGTGGCGCCGCTGGTCATCCCACTGTCCTGCACACTTGCTGGCGAAACAGCTTTGCTGTATTTATTTGTAGCTCGTTTCTCCACGGGATCCAGACAAGAGTCTCATGGAGTCTGGCTGGGAGACAGCAGCACCCTCTCCCACGTTCACAGTCGCCTCTGCTTGCATGCCAGAGGCTTATGGGGGCGAGCTTGTTCTCCCTGGTTCGGGGTGCACTCCTTCCAGGAGGCCTCTCCGTCCTCCATGGACCTGATTTCTGTCTTCCCAGCCCGTCCGTGTGCCAGACCCATCCAGACTTGCCTGCGTCCATGCGGGGGACGGGCTCGGGCTCCAGCTGAGGCCCCTGCTCACAGTAAGGGACAGGGCTGCATGTGCAGTGAGAGGGCTGTGCACTCTAGTTCCAGCACTGCCCCTTCCTGGCGGTGTGACCTTGGTTAGTTTTCATCACCTCTTTGAGCCTTGAGATGACCTGCTCACCCTGGCAGCGGCCTTGCAGTAGGTGGCTTTAGGCAAGGCTGGATCCAGATTCTCAAATGACGTCACCAGAGAGGCCATCTCTTGCCCTCTCTTGGCTCCACTTTCCTCCAAACTGACATCATTCTTTATCAAATGTAGTGGCAAAGATGACCACCAGCTGCTCCGGGTGTCCACAGCCTTGAAGCTTGCATCTCAGAAGAGAGAGACCATCTCTCTCGTTTGTAAAACAGGGACAATAGGGACGACAATTTCTGCTTTATTGATAGTGCACGGAGAGTGTCTGCCACAGTTTCTGAAGTTCATTCATTCAGCAAACGGTTGTTTTTGCTGGACCTTGGGCTGAGTGATGGACAGACAGGCCTTTCATGTAATTTACACCTTGGTTGAGGAAGAAAGATGACAGTTAACAAGTGAACAAACAGGTAAATGGAATAATTGCAGGTTTTAGGTACCATGCAGGAAACAGGCAGTGTGCTGCAAGTAAGGGGGTGGGGTCAGTGTTCACAGAAGACCCCGCTGAGCTGTTGACCTTTAAGCTGAGGCCTGAAAGATAAGAAAGACGCCAGCCTTAGGAAGAGCTTGAAGGACGCTTTCCAGGCACGCTAAGGCTTAGGGGAAAGAAAGAGTGTGGTGTGGTCCAGAGTGTGGTGAGGAGGATGGTGGGATGAGAGGAATTTGGAGCGCTGGACAGGGAAGGCATCACACAGGGCCTTAGAAGCCACCAAAAGAAGTTTGGCTTAATTCTCAGTATAAAGTGGAGCCTTTGACAGGCTTTAAGCAGGAGAGGGAGAGGCTCAGGCTTGCTATTTTTAAGTGTCTCTCTTGAGTGTGGCAAGGTGAGCACAGTGATCATTTAGGAGGCTGGGCCAGGATTGCGGTCGAGAGATGACAGGGGCTCAGACTGTGCTGGTGGCAGTGGAGAAAGAGAGAAGCAGGTGGAGCCCTGGTGACGGGAGGTGAGACTGCCAGGGCTTTCTGCAGGACAGATGTGGAGCAGGGGAATCCATAGAGCCAAGGTTGTGCCTGAGCTTTTTGGGATGTTATAGGGTGGGGAACGGTGCTACTTCCTGAGGTAGAAAGACTTTGGGAAGGAAATATTTGGGTGGGGGTGGTCAATAGTTCTCTGGAGCAGTTAGAAATGTCATGGGCAGTTAAGACTAGAGCTTAGGGCCAGGCATGGTGGCTCATGCCTGTAATCCTAGCACTCTGGGAGACTGAGGCGGGAGGATCGCTTGAGGTCAGGAGTTCGAGACCAGCCTGAGCAAGAGTGAGACCCCTGTCTCTGAAAAAAAAAAAAAAAAAGACTGGAGCTCAAAGAAGAGGTCTAGGCTTGAGATGCAAGTTTAGGAGTCTTCAGCATAAAGATGGTAAAGCCACAGGGCTGGATGAGTTCACATGGCTAGTAGGTACTCAGTATATGATATCTGTTTTCATTAACTAAGAGAGAATTTTGGTTTTGCACTCATGTTCATTTGTAAAGACCCAGTTTGAATGCCAGTCCTTGGAAGAATTCTTTCTTCCACGTAAGCCTCCCCTCATCACCTTTGCCAAAAGTCACCTTAATACTTGTATCAGTCACGGGGCAAGTGCATCATAATTTCTTGCAGAGAGAGTAGTTATTTTGTTGGCATGTCTTAACTCTCTACAGAGTGAGTGCCGAGAGGGCAGGGACACTGTCTTGTACATCTTTTTATAAGGTCCCTGCTGTCCTGGGCCTGTCCCTACGAGAGAGGCATTTGTGTGGGCTCTGGAGACACTGACTCCACTTGCTCACGTTGGACAGGAACCCAGACGAGAGTGAACTTGGCCGCTCCAGGCCAGCCCAGCCTCAGGGGTCTGAAGGCTCTGCCTTTCTGAGCCCTGCTCTCATTGAGAATCAAGGGTACTTCCAGCGTTGTGTCAGGGAGGGTGTTTTCCCCAATTTCTTCGCCAATAAGGAACTTGTTCTCTCCATAACAGGAAGCCTGGAGGTAGGTGGGTCCAGGCTGGTTAACTCAGCAGGTCACCACACTCAGGGCTCTGAGCTGACTCTTGGGATTCTCTTGGTTTTCCATCATGATTCCAAGACGACTGTGGCAGCTGCAAGCCTTACGTCGTCATCTGTGGTGACCAGAGTCAGGAGTAGGAGCTTATTTCTTCTCCGTAGTTTCTTAAGAGCAAGAAAAACCTTTCCCAGAAGTCCACCAACAGACTCCTCCTCGAGTCTCATTGGCCAGAATCACGTCACGTGTCTGTGCCTAAGCCAGTCACTTGGCAGGGGGATAAGCCGCAGAGCCAGCCTTGGCTGAGACCGGTACCCCGCTGCGGCTAGGGAGGGCCCCGCCTCCTCGCAGAGCGGGATCTCAAGGGTCCTTTCAATAAAGGAGAATGGCGGGGTAGCTGTCAGGTGGGCAGCCAACACGGTCTACTGCAGACATCTCCTATCAGGATGTATCCAGGCTTGAAGGCTTTGCCGCTTTGGGAGCGAGCCCTGGGAGGTGGCCGGGTGCGCAGAGGTGCTGAGAGGGGCTGTCGGGCCGGCCCGACCTTGCCGAGTGGGGTCCCTGTGGTGAGCTGGGCCTGGGCCTGGCCTCAGCCCTCAAGCAGGGGGACCTGCGGCTGTGGCAGCAGACACCGCTGGGCGTCTGGCTTTGTGTCGAGATGTTCCAGTCTGATAGCTCCTGCCAAGAGACGTGTCAAGTTTTGCAGTGACTCAGTTATCAGCAGCGCACACACGCCCTGAAAGGACCCAGGGTTCTGCCTCTGCGGAAAGTAGCCGGGTGCTGAAGCCTTTCGGCAGCACCACTGGGCCCCTTGTTGTGACTCCATGGGCACTTGGTGCTCCTCTGACCTTCCCTCTAGTGACCCTCCCGGTGCCCTGGGGTGGTGGGCACAGATAGGGGTCAGCATTCCCCGTGTCGGGATGAGGACACAGAATCGATGAAGATTATGGGATTTACTCAGGGTCACACAGGCCTGCTGTGAGGTGGGGAGATGGCGTGGCCAGGTGGTGAGGACATGGGCTCAGGGATGGACTGCCTGGGGTTAATTGGTGACTCACTGCTTACTTAGCCGTGGACCTGATGCAGGTTACTTAGCTTCTCAGTGCCTCAGTTTCCTCATCTTAAATGGGATAATATACTTAACCTGATAGGGTTGTCATGAGGATTAAATGAGTTAATGCACTGAGCATTGTCAAAGTGCTTTCATCATCATCATCTTTCTGGAGGCTGAAAAGGGGTCAGAGCCACACTGTCATGCTCAGGATCCTGGCTGGTGGCAGTTACGAGCCGAGAGCCATGCAGGGCAAAGGGACAGGGAAGCGGGGGGAAGCCAGACCCTTCCAGATGGGTCAAGGGCTGTGAGATGACCAGCGTGAAGGACTATCCCTGGGTTCTACGCCTGGGGCATGGGGACCTCGGGCTACATGTGGGATGAGACAGGCTTCAGCGCGGAGGATGGTGGTAAGCACCGGAGCATGGGCAGCAGTGTGGACCTGGTGGGGTACAGGGTTTGGGGCAGGACTTTGGAGTTGGGTTGGGGTCAGGAGCTCAGATCTGTGAGCTGTACCAGCCTGCACTTGGGTGGGGGAGTGGGTGGGGAGGACCAGACTCAGCTGGTATCAGCTTCCAGGGCTCCTTCCAGGCCCAGCCTAAATCCGTGGCCAGCACAGAGGCCTTAGAGAATAACCTGGCCCTTCCTGACGTGTTCCTCTGCTGTGTCCAGCCCGCGCCCACACGTGGGGCAGAGACATCCCATGTGGGTTGGTCAGGTTACACGGACTCTTGTGCTAGGCTTTTCTTTGGGGATTGCTCTCTCCTGGAGCTTCCCTACAGCCCCTCCATCGCAGGCTGCCCAGCCTCTCACCAGCTGTCCGTTTCTGTCCCCCTGTTGCTGCTGCAGGACACAGAGATTCGCAACAATGCAGCCAACTACCTCCCCCAGATCAGCCAGCTCCTCAACCACGTGCCGCGCCAGATGCTGCTCATCTTCAAGACCAACGACCTGCTGCGTGGCATCGAGGCCGCCCTGGGCACCCGCGCCAGCGCCAGCTCCTTCCTCAACATGTCACGTTGCTGCATCAGGGCGCTGGCCGAGTGAGTGGCTCCGGCCTCTCCTCCCTCCCAGCCCCAGGGGTCCTGCCTTTGCCTCTCTTTTCCCCACCAGTCTGCAGGACCCCACCTGAGCTTCCCAGTCTAGATCTCTCTGCAGGGAAAGTCAGGGGCAGAAAACAGCTCTAGGGAACTTGATGATGCCTCAGGGTGGTATTTCGGGGTGGTGCAGAGAACCACCTGTGCTTGTTAAATGGATTCCAGGACCTCATCCTCCCAGTCCAGCTTTCCAGGCAGTTCTTGCCCTCAAGTAAAGTTTGAGATGTTTTCCTAGAGTTTCAGCCCCATCCAAGTGTCCCTTGGGCTTGGGGTCAGGAAGCCCCAGTGCGTATCTCACCTCTAACTGGTCCCAGGACTTGGCTACCTAGGGTGCCAGGCAGCCAGGCCAGAGCTCTTTTTCCTGCAGGTGTGAGGTGACTCAGGCAAGCGTGGCCAGCAGGGTCTCCGATCCTCTCAGATGCCCCAGCACCGTTAGGGTATTAATGAGGAAGAGAAGTTTGCTTCTCAGGGAGAGAGCTCCAGAGGAACAAGAGTTCTAGGACCTTCAACTGAGGGTGGCAAATATGTCAGAAGGGCTGTGCTCCCCCTGAGTGTTCTCACTCATGAGAGGAGGCCCAGATGGTGGTCAGGGCCCAGCCCATCCATCTCACGCAGGGAATGGGTCATTCTGGGAAACTATCTGGTGAATGGAGACTGACCACGTAGATCACGTATCCACTATCAAATATTAAATTAGTTTGCAGCAAAATGCACTGCATACTGAAAGGGCTGACTGAGATTTGTTCTTCCTTTGAGGATGCAGGAAATGAACTCTTGAATAGGTCATCATCATAATCGCCAGTTTTCATCACGTCCTTTTGTTGGTGTCGAAGGGATTGAGGTGGGCTGAATCCATAAGGGCCTCAGCCTCCCAGGACCACCTGAGCAGGTTTCTAATCCTACCAGTGATTCTAATCCTCGGAGACTTTGGAAAAGCTTGATTATGTTTGAGTTTGGAGGGTTCTGGATTGGAATGTATTTACTGTACTTTTAGAGAAAGAAACCTGAGAATATTCTACCCAATGGGTCTATCAGACCTTTGATACCCTGTGAGCAACTGCTTTTGCTTATCTCACGTATTTGGAAAACTCCTTTGGAATATTTGAGCTTCTCTAGTCCCTGGCTGGGCAGTGGTGGGGTCATGTAACCAAGAGCAGCCCCAGGGGCAGGGAGCTGGTGAGCTGGCCAAAGCCACCGTCTGTTTTTCTGAATGATACCCAGCTAGTGTTTCTTGCCTCTTTATCTATTCTTCTCTCCTTTCTTCTTTCCCCTCCTCCAGGCACGAGAAGAAGAACACCTGTTCATTCTTGAGGAGGACGCAGATCTCCTGCTGTGAGACCTTCAGCCTGTGGCAGATCAGCCTTCACGAGCTCATGCTGCGTGTGAAGGGGCTGAGGCTGCCCAGCTGGGCCGTGGCCCTGCTCTGCTGGCTGTTTCCTGCTCTGCACTGAGTCGACTCGTGTCCCTTGCCTCTTCCTGGTGTCCTTTCACTCCTCAGTCCCTGGTTTTGCTGCGTGGGGGCCTGCAGTCCCAGGGCCATTGTTCAGGACACCGCTATCCTCCTCATTGGAATTCCACTCCCACACTGCGGCCCTTGTCTCATGGCCCAGACTGCACTGTGGAGTTAGCTGTCTCGCCTTGGCCAAGGGAAGACTCAGCAGCCCACTTCCCAACTCCTAGAATGTGCCATGGGGTTGGATGTCCCCCCACTCCGTCAACCCTTTCCATAGTCAGGATGGACCACACGTGCCACTGAGGGCACATCAAATGTGTAGGATGTTTGATTTTGTTGGAGGTGAGCGTGGTCTCTGTACTTGCTAGAGAACAGTTCCCTCTCCTTGCCATATCAGTCCCCAGAAGTGTCACACCCTAGCGAGGTGGTTTGGCCTCTGAGGGCTGACTCTGTTGCAGCTGTGAATTCACTGCTGTCACAGTAATCCCTTTGGTGTTTTACGTACTGTGTTTCAATAAAGACCACGTCAAGGTTGCAGGGTTTGTCCATCCTAGCTCACTGCCCACCTATCTGACCCCAATCACATGCCCTTCCAGAGAGCTTGCCAAAGACTTACAGTTCCCTTGGTTGCTGATTCCTCAGGATTTCCTAGGGAGACCCAGGGAGAATAAGGTCAGGGCCTGGTTGGGAGTGAGCCCACACTGGCTGTTAGGTAGGGGTGGACCTGAATGCCAAGTGCTGGTGTGATCTTTTGCTTGGCCTCTTATCCCTATAATCCTTCCAACCTGTAGGGCCACTACCTGCTTCTTGGAGGTTTCTCTTACCTTCCAAGACTCTGAGACCTTGGTTGGAGGAGCCAGGAAGCCCAAGGCCAGAAACTCAGAGGCTCAGCCAAAACCTTGGATTTTGGTCATTTTCTGTTAAAGCACCTGCTTTGTTCTAATTGTTTCCCGACTTATCCTGAGTTATTTGGTTCTCATTCAGTGACCTCAGTTTCAGGCCTGGGATTCTACCAGCTCCTCCCAGTGCTTCTGGAGCCACTAGTCCTACTGCTGAAACCTTGGTCGCTATGGCTAGGTTGCCACTCTGATACCTGTCACCTGTTTGAACTGTGTTTCTACCCCATCCTACCTCCAGCCTGGTTGTCTGCTCCTTTTTCTGAAACATCCCTAAATTCCTGCTCTAACTCCTGTGTCTGGGTAGTCTCCAGCCCCTGAGATCCCAGATTTGGAGCACTCGTGCTCACAGACAGTGATTGCATTTGCATCTCTGATCTTACATTGCCCCATTCACAAGGGCAGAAAAACCCTGAGTTTGAGCCTAATTTTTCTGTTTTCTTTATTCATAGTACTACGAGCAGGTTTTTCAGTGACCAAAGACGATTCACAATCCTTTTATTTCCTGAAAGAATTAATTGTTCTTAGTGACCAGTTGGATGTACCCAGGGGCCTGCGAGTAATTTGCAGTATCTGTTGTTAATCATGAGGATGCATGCTGCATATTATATTTTATGGTGTCTTTTATAGCCACTGAAGTAAATATAAATGTCCTTTTTGTTCAAGGTAATGGTTACTTGCTTTTCACTTTTGATGTACTGGTTGGCTGCCTGCTGCCCTGGGATGGAAAACCTCAGCGTGTTGCCAGTGGGCCCAGCACCCAGAACAGTTATCCAGGCAGAGCAGAGAGGCGGGAAGAGTTGCGGGTGCAGGGCAGTTTGAGGTTAGGAGGGGAGTAGGTGGATATATATTGAGTACCTACCACGTGTGAGAGGCTGTTAGGCTCTGTAAATATGTTACATCATTGAGTATTGTCCCATCGGCTCTGTGAGAGAGAGGGGTCATTAGCCTCATTTCACAGAGGTGAACCAAGGCTCAGAGAGGCTTAGTAATTTGCCTATGGTCACACAGCTGTTGAGTGGTGGCCTAGGCTTTGTTTTTTATTCCACAGTGCTGTAGAGATAGATTCTCTTGCACCTTGGGTTGTGCCTGAGTTGAGACTCAAATTCCCTGATTTCAGAGGAAATTATATTTACAGGGGAGGTGGTGTTGGGGGAGGGAGTGAATGGGTAAAGGAGACAAAAAGTTCTGAGAAATGCAGACTGAGTCTAGGTTTTTCCAGGTCCTAAGACAGGCTGGACCTGAACCACTACAGTACTGCAGTGCAATTCTGACACCCAGCACCCAGAGTTAGTGCAGACTCTGCAGGCAGAAGGGCACAGTTCCCCATCAGACCGTTCTCACTTTTCAGATACAAGCGCAGGTTTGGGGGGCCCCAGACTACCTGCACTTCTGACCAACTGCCTACAAATTCAGGGGTTCCCATAACCCCCTTGTGTTTGATAATTTGCTATTATAGAATGATTCATAGAACTCAAGGAAGCACTATTCCTGTGATTGCAGTTTTATTATGAAGGATACAACTCAGAACCAGCCAAACACAAGAGACGTGCAGGGGAGGCCTGGGCAGGTCCCGAATGCAGAGCTTCCAGGTCTTCCTCCCTCGGGGTCAAGGTGTGTCACGTGGATCAGCACATCCATGTGTTCACCAAGCTTCGGTGTGAGGGGTTTTTATGGGGGTTCCATTACATAGGTGTGATTGACTGGCTCATGGGCCCCGTGAATGACCCAATCTCCAGTCTTCCCCCGTCCCCAGAGGAGGCTGGGCTGATCGCTCCCCATCCAGAGTCATCTTGTTATTATAAACTCTGTGATCCCAGGGCACTCCATGGATAACAAAGACACTCCTGTCACTTGGGAAATTCCAAGGATTTAGAGGAATGAGGACAAAGACCAGACAAACCATTATTTCACAGCCACCCTGGTGTGTTCTTGTCCTGTACTTGAGCTGAGGTGCACATTTATTGACCAGCTGAGGGCCTGGGTGGAGTCATCTCTGTGGTCCAGACCCATAGGAGAATGCTCTCCCTGGGTGTCACTGTGGTTCAGAGCAGGCTCTGGCGAGGTCCTGTGCGGGGCCTGCACCTTGATCCTGTCCCTCTCCTGTGGAGCTTGCCGTGAGGATTGGCCATAGACTTGGGTTTGGGTAGAACTTGTCAGTAAAATCCTGTGACTTTCCCTCCCAGCAGTGACAGTGCCTGTCAGAAGGCACCACTAGCTTACTTTGAAGAGCATTTTCTCTTTTAACACCTGGATATCTCATATTTTATTTAGGTGTTATTTTCTTTGATTTAGGCAACATGGCTATCGTACCCCTTTCCTCTTCTCAGGTGGAGGGAATAGGAATTCTGGGTCTGTGGCCCACCTGGCGCAGAGCCTCTCAGATGTGTGCCCTGTACATGGGGACTATAGATGTCCTGGCTTATGGCTGTGTGCTCGGTACACAGGCAAACATCTAGATTTGCAGCATGCTTCGTTATTTTCAGAGGTGTTGACATCTGTGTATTTGAAAAGCTACACATGCTTCTCCTTGCTTTTCCATCAGGTTAATTCCTACAGCGTTCCTTGCCCACTCCCAAGATCAGAGAGACTCTGTTTCCGCATTACAGGCTGCCCAGGGGCCTCCTGCCAAAGTGGCAGGGCTCCAAAATTGTGAACATCTAGCACCATCTCAGAAAACCAAAAGTGGCTCCAAGAGGCACTCCAGCAAATCCTGGGGAGCGAGACCTGTCGGGGGTTTTGGAATGACCTTCGGTGTAGGCAAATGTGAGAAGAGTCTTAAATGGAGCCATGCAGAGTGGCACTTGGGGCTTGAGTGGTCAGGAAAGGTGTTGCCATGGGGTGCCAGGATCTAAGCTGTGAGCTGGTGATTGGGCAAGATCTTCACAGATGATGAGCAGAACCACAGGGGGCGGCACGTTCCCGGCAGTCTGGCCTGTTGGAGCATCGTGTTTGCCGAACTGGATTGGGGGCCGGTATTTGACAAGGGGCCTTGACTGCCAGGTGACTGGTGCCACCACTATCAGTAACTGGCCAAAGGAGAGTCATGGGAGGCCCAGCCTGCAAGCCTTGTCTGCAAAAGATTTTGGTAAAAAGCCAAAAGTTTGGTAAAGAACAATTTGTTCAAAAAGCCTCTGTTCTTCCTTTCTTCTCTCCCTTGCTCCCCCCTTTTCTTCCTCCCCCTCCTCCCTTCCTCCCTGCTTCCTTCTCTCTGTGCCCACTCCTGGTTATGGAGCTGCACGGACTGGCTCTGCCCTCTCCCTTTCTAAAGGGAGGATGGGATCAGCCCTCGGAAGAGTAACTGATAAACCCCGGGCTGTAGCTGCGATGTCCTTTTTCCTGTGGTCAGTGCCTTGTGGACTGGCTTACTTGGCTTCTGCAGAAGCTGCCTCTGCCCTGCCATCAGCAGCCCCACCTCTAGCCAGGTCCCCGTGCCTCTGGCCAGCACTGCGGGGAGAGGAAGGCTGTCTCTTCCAGTTCTGCCTTTGGCTTGACCGCCCCGGAGTTCCGCTGATGTTTCCTCCTGTGCTGTTTCCTGCGTGCAAGAGGAAAGGACAGGCTCTCAAGACTGGTGTGAGGACAGGTCCTCAGCCTACCTGAACCCCTGCCATTGCCGCTCCTGTTTCCTCACCCCCTCGCCCTGCACATTCATTCTAGAGCAGTGCCTCTTAAACTTTCACGTGTAAGTGAATAACCTGGGATCTCATTAAAACACAGGTTCTGACTCAGTGAGTCTGAGGTGGGCCTGAGGTCTTGCATTTCTAACGAGCTCCCAGGGGACGCCAGTGCCGCTGGTCCGGGAACCACATCTTCAGAACCGCTGATCTGCGTCCTTGCAGCTCGAAGTGTGGTCCGGGGGGCCAGGCAGTTTTTGAAAATTGTGTTTTGTTGTAACTTTTTATTTTGAAATAATTTTAGATTTACAGTAGACATTGCAAAAATAGTGCAGAGGGTTCCTGCAAACCCTTCACCTCCCCTAATATTAACATCTTATATAACCATGCTACCTTGATTAATAAGAAATTAACATTAGCACACTACTATTAACTAAACTCCAGATGTTATTCCGGCTTCACCAATGTCCTCACTAATATCCTCCGTGTCCCAGGATCCTATCCAGGTTGCCACCTTGTATTTAGTTGCCAAGTCTCCTTATTCTCCTGTGGTCTGTGCCGCCAACTGAAGGGCTACCAACTACTTCCATCATTCCTGACTTTGAGGGCGTGAGGTCATGGTCTTGATACAGCTGGCCACCAGCCCAGGTGAGAGTCTCACGTGCCCTTGCTGGGCACCAGTAGGTGGCTGCCAGGTCAGGCTGGTGCAGACGGCCCCAGCTTCTGACTTTCCTGGTCTTTCATGACCTTGACACTGTTGGAGAGTGCTGGTCAGGTGGTTTGTAAAACGTCTCTGAGTTTGGGTTTGTCTGGTGTTTTCTCGTGTAGGCTGGGGTTATGGGTTTGGGGAAGGACACAACAGAGGTGGCTGTCTCTTCACATCCTCTCTGGAGAATGTGATATCCACATGACTTACTGCTTTTGTTCTTTAAAGCTCCCTAGTCAGGGTTGGGACCCTTGATTCAGGCTCACATAAACTTCGAGGTGTCTTCCAGAGAAGGAAGCAATGCAGCCTCCACACGTGGGCGTCAGGCAGAGCCTCTGGGAGGAAGAGTCCTGGCTACTTCCAAAGTAAAAGGCTCTCAGGAAACTAAAAACTGCAGATATGCCTTAGTCTGTTTTTGTGTTTCTGTTAATATAAAGGAATACCTGAGACTGGGTAATGGGTAAAGAAAAGAGTGTTGGCTCACAGTTCCATAGGCTGTACAAGAAACATGGCACCAACATCTGATGAGGGTCTCCGCGTCCGCTCACGGCTGAAGGTGAAGGGCGCTGCCGCGTGCGGAGTCACACGGTGAGACAGAAAGCAAGAGAGTGAGAGGGGAGGCGCCAGGCTCTTTCTAACAACCAGCTCTCAGGAGCTAATAGAGTGAGAACACTCACCCCAACCAGGGCATTAATCTATTCATGAGGGACCTGCCCCCAGGAGCCAAACACCTCCCATTCGGCCCCCATCTCCAACAGCAGGGATCAAATTTCAACATGAGATTTGGAGGGGACAAATATCCGAACTATAGCATTTATTTAATATCTGAACTATAGACATTTACCACAACTCTTTAAGCAGCCACACAAATGTAATGACAAATGGATGTAACATTGAGTTCTCCCCAAAAGAGGTCTAGCACTAGGGATTGTGTTTTCCAGGGATATTTGCAGTTCTAGAAATAGTAGTCACCAGTGAATCATTGGCAGGCCTGACCTGCACCAGCCTGACCTGGCAGCCACCTACCAGTGCCCAGCAAGGGCATGTCAGAGTCTCACCTGGGCTGGTGGCCAGCTGTACCAAGCCTGTGACCCCCCAGTCAGGAGTGATGGAAGTGGCTGGCGGCCCCTCTGTGGGTGAATAATGATGGAGATGGAAGGCCAGAGCGACAGACTGCTGGCAGCATAGACTCTTCTCTCCAAGGCTAACACTGGATGGGACAGAAGCCCTTCCAGTCTCCTCATGCTGGTGAGTTGGGGACAGAGGTCAGGGGCTCTGGCTCTTCCCTGTCCTAAAGTTGCCAGAAAGCACAGCTCAGCTATGTAGTTGGTAGGAGGTCGCCTTCTTTGT